TTGCTTCGACTTGCAAAGAGAGGAAAGGTCATGTACTTTAGTGCTAATATGAAAAGGTCGTGATTAAAATGCAAAAACATAAAAGGTCGTGCTTTTATATGCAATTTTGCCATAAATTTAAGACCCGTATCTTTTATATTTTATGGAAAAATAAGATTAGATCTAATCACCTCTTGCACTTTTTTTGAAGACAAGGTGACATCAATGTTATTTAACCAGACTATTGAGTTCATTTGACTTTTTTCCATTGCAAAATTTATCAACTGTTTTGTTATTGTTATTATCTAACACTGGTAATATCAGTATCTTTATTCTGATGATTTTACTTTGATTTGCATTTTTTTTACCAAAAACCGTTCTGTTAAAATCGCATTGTTATCTTTTCATTTTGTTCGACACTCAACTGATAGACCGATGAAAAACTTTTTGATTTCATTAAGTATCATTCTTTGATTGTATTAAACATTTTATTTTGTATTGTGTTGAAGCGTGGGTTAATTAAGAGCACAATGTCAATTAGTCATATGATTGAGATATTTTTCTTTTATATAATAGCTATTGATTAATGACATAAAATGTTCATATAGTCTTAAGTTGTACATATGTTTTTGACTTTCTTTTAGTTCGTTATACGCAAATTAGCTTCATTTGCCCAGTCTTGTAAGTTTGTATGTTTATTTTTCAAACATTTTTTTATGTAAATATTTCTTCATTCAATACTTATATAATACATGAGTATTGTACTAATATATAATATATCAAATCAATTATCTCTTAACGAGTTTCAATTTGACATTCATATTGCATATATAAAATAAATAAATAAATTTGTTATTCTAATATAAAATCTATATTATCTATTAATATTAACACAACAATCTTTAATGGCTTTTGAACTTACTATACTTTTTTATCAGAAATTATATGGAACCATCGGATGACTCTCTTATGAAACCATCCATAACTTTATGTACTGACATACGTCCATTCTGCATTTATTGTAGTAGACGTGTCAATACATCATTAATGAATAACTATAGATGACTCAATAAACCGAGCCATCCAATGACTCCACGGCAAAACTGACTTTTTAGGAAAAACCCTTTACCAATGGCTTGTAATATATCATCCAATCTGCCCTTATCTATTTCCATATCCCCATTTTTTTCCCCCAAAAATCAACTAAATCATTAACGGCCCTTCCTTTCAAAATACCGTTGCTCCCCAAATTTGGTAAACACAGACACAAATCTTAATTGCCGCCAAAGATGGAGTTACAAGGTAAAGGTACACAAATCTTAATTATTCCCTTGTTTCCCCTGTTTTTTATTTTTTATTTTTTTTTATTTTTATTATTTTTTTTTTTTAATTTTTGCGCTTTATATAATTTGAGACATGAAATTGCTGGTTAGGGCACAGAAGTTCCAATAATCCCAAAGCGGTTCTTTCTTCTCTACTGAACAAGAGAGAAAAACTTCAAAACGAGCTCAAAAGTGTCGAGAAGCAGGTCAATTTTTAATGAGTTTCTTTTTCGTTTGTATTTTGTTATTATTATTCTGGGAATTGGTTTTGTACTGGTAAAAATTGCGCTCGAATTTATGCATTTAGCACTTTTAGATAATTTAAACATGGGGAATTACCCGTTTTGTTCCACTTGGTTAGTGCTGAAATTGAACGGAACGAGCGGACCTTGAGCTTTTCGAGCTCGTGTTTGTTTATGTTTGGACATTGTTCGAATTTTGTTCGTTTATTATTCGAGTTAACATTCGTGTTAGAGCAAGTTTGTAAAAGTTGGAGCTTGTTTGTGTTGAAGTAATTTAGTAATCAAGATTGCTAAGGTATCATTTTTTTGATATTTTATAAATTTTTTTATTAAAATTATTATACATTTAAATAAAAAAAAGAACTATATATTAAATTATTGATAGCGAACCTTATTGAACGTTCGTGACCATGCTCGCATTCGTTTGATTAAGAAACAAGTTTAAACTTTCGTTCACGGCTTAGTTTGATGAACAAACGAACAAGCTATATTCAAACTCGAATGGAGCTCGAACAAGTGTTTGTTTGTGAATATGTGGTTATTTTACGGCTCTACCCCTGGTTACTAGGTATATGAGCTGGAAACAAGCTATCTACAAGAAACCAACACTTTCGGTAATGCATTCAAGGGCTTTGATGGATTTGTTTCTTCTTCGAAAAACACAGCTAGGTAAGCAGCTTATTTATGATACTCTCAGTTTTTTTACACAATCTTAGGTGTGGGTTTCGGAAGGATGGAGTAGTACTCATCCATTGATTTTTATTTTTATTTTTTACTTTTAATCTATTTATTTATTTATTTATTGTACTTCATTCGGTGTTGGTTTCAATCTCTATTTTTACCAACTGTACTATTGTTTTTCCAGCATAAAGAGGTCGAAAAGGTTTCAGCTTGAAGATAGAGTGTTCTCATTGTCCTCGGCCACCTCACCAGCGGTACAAATTTGCAGATGGTTTCAAACAATTTTGTAATTCAATAGCTAAAACAAAAGTGATTTTCCGTGATATTTATTCGTTGTGGCTAGAATTCTTTGCCAATAGCATGCTGGAAAAATTGATTAGTTAAATCGCGTTCTTGCTTCTGTCCACTATTTTACACTGTTTCTTTTCGCTGTTTTATTGGGGAAGTATATCAATTCAATGACTTGCCCACTGACAAATGTAGACTATTTTTATTTTTTATTTTTTTCGAAACGATAGATTCAAACAAATGTAGCCTATGAATGAAGCTTATTTAACCACTTTCTGCTATATTTATAGGCAGAGGAGCTAAGAGTTGGCAAAGAAGGTTAGCCGTTCCTTCTTCTCATTCTGTTCTTATTTATCTTTTCATTTGATCGATTAATGTTTTAGTTACATTTGTATTGCTGTTGCCATTTCTATAGATGGAAAGGCAGACACGACTCAATTTAGGACAAAGGGCGGAGGCTCGGCAAATGCGGCACAGTGAGTAGACTTTCAACTGCTTTAACTGTAAACAAGTCAATTGCCAGTTTACTATGCAGAGAGAGAGAGAGATAGAGAGAGACTATCAAAAGCCATATTTTCTATATCTACACGTTTGTTTGCTACACTTGTTTTTTGTCCAATTTACGGAGCTTGATTTCTGTCTTCAGGGGAAAGCCGAAGAAAGGAAGAACGGGGCAAAGGGAAGTGAAAAAAATCAGGTTCACAAGCAATTTAGATCCCGAGGATGAAGATGATCCCGATTTGAGGTAGTTCATTTGCTCGATATTCTATCCAAAAGCTAGTCTGCTGAGTAGTTATTGTGGTAAAAATATTTTATTAATTTGAACTGGTGAAGTTCTTAGCAAAAATGTGTTGTGCTTTAGCTTGTGCTTTTTAGGATTACTTGTTTTTGTAATGTAGTTGAGTCATGCCTGCACGATAATGGTAAGATTAGTGAGATTGGTTGTTGAATGTTGTTGTCTTTGGTTCCTATATCTGAACTTCCGTTAACTCTCTAGAGTGAGTTGTGATTTAATTCGTTCTCTTCCATCTCTAGAATTAGAAAGTAATAAACACTGAAGGCAGGAGGAAATTTTGAGGTACGGTTAAGAAATCATATTTGAGGTTGAGTAAGTAATAACTATTTTCATCCCGCTCTGAACATGGGCTATGTTTTTCACGCCGTCAATTAGCGAGTTCTGTTTTTCACCCCACTAGATGCGAAACAAATTATGCAATTAATTATACGACAAACAAACGAAGATAATTGATAAAGTGCGAAATATTTATGCGATAAACTACGCGACAGACAAACGAAGATTATTGATAAAATGTGAAATATTTTTGCATTAAACTATGCGACCATCATACGGAGTTAATTAATATATTACGTATGCGATAAAATATGCAACATGCAGACGAACTAAATTGAGCATGTGCGATTACTTATGCGACAGACAAACGAAGAATCGAGCAAGTCTGATCTCATTATGCGATAAACAAACGAAGTTAATTGAGCAAGTGCGAAATAATTATGCGATAAACAAATAGAGTTAATTGAGTAGGTGTGATCTCATTATGCTACAAAATTTGAGACAAACAGCAAAGTTAATTGAGTAAGAGTGAAATAGTTATACGATCAACTACGCATAAAGACGAAAATAATTAAGCAAGTGTGACCTCATTATACAATAAAATATGCGAGATAGACAAAGTTTATTGAGAAAATGCGTAAAAGTATGAGATAGAATATGCAACATATAGGCGGCGAATATGCAGAGAATTGTGTGAACAGTTCGGTCAATCGCGAGTATGTCGCATTTTAGTGAAAATGCGAGTATGTCGCATTTTAGTGGTCGGATTTCTTTGGAGTGGTGGAGGAACTTGAAGGTGAAGGTGGAGATGGGCTAGGGTTTTGAGGTGGATAAGTGGTATGTGTTCTATTTATAGTGGGAGGAGAACACTAGGGTTTCATTGACTAATTGGGCTCAAAACCAGGCTTTAGCAAATCCTAAAATCGGGCTAGTTAATTAAATTCGACTTGGGCTCGATTTAGCTGAATATTGATCAAGGAATTAGGTGCCCTGCTAAGAAAATTTATCGAACTCGTACTAAATAAATTAGTCGGTCAAATTAAATAATAATAATGGCCCGAGATTTTAAATTTTAAAATTGACTAAAATAAAATCGAACTTGGGCTCGATTTAACTAAAATGGACCGGCTAAAATAATTAGACTCACTTGAAAATGATTAGGCTCGAATAGATTAAATATTCGGGCTTCGCGCTTAAATAAAATTCTGATCAATCCAAGGCTCGGTTTTAAAATAGAACTGATACTTGTGCTAAATAAATCCGACTTCAATAATAAAAAATTGAATTAATACTTTAAACTAGTTACGCAATTCAATGCATATAATAATAATAAATGCATCAAATTAGAAAACTTAATATTTATGGAAATAAAGTCGAGCTCCATAAATAGTAAATAATATTATGGGCGTTACAACATCGCTTCCGATGTCGCCACTCTTAAGCCTCATGCGGACCGGGATTGTGTGCGAAACTATTATAGAATGCTTGATGAGCAACGGTCGAGGGAAACAGCCACAAAAGTGAGAGAGGAAGGGGCAAAGAGAGCCCGAATTGAGCAAGAAGGAGACGTTACCGAACCATCCGAGCACCTCGCACTCCCTCCCCCCGATAGTGCCCAACCGACCAATGATGATGATGCTCCTCCACCCACCGACTACACTCCGAACCCGATGGACGGCTTCGTGGCCCAAATGACTTCTTTGATAAACAACAGATTTGCACGGATTGAGTCTCGCTTCAATGGCGTCGACAGTACTATTCACACCTTTGATGCCCCGCTCACAAGGATGGAAGCTAACGTGGATCAATGCATTGAGGCTCGGACCGGAGCCTCCAACTCTCATACGGACACACGGGCCGAGGGTCCGAGCTCTTCTTCCTCTTCGAACGATGCACCGATTGATACACGGTGATTTATCACCGTGTGAAGTACGCTTTTCCTTTTCCTTATTTTTCTTTTCTTTCACCTCCATCACCTTCTAGAACTATACTGAAATATAAAAGGGAAGTTTACAATATCTTATTTTACTTATTTGAGTTTATTTATTTTCCTCGTACATGGATTATTTTACTTAACGATGAAAAACGAGATTCATTACCATATGAAGCAGCCATACGCGCACTTACCATAAAAAGAACAGTGAGAGACAGTGGGAATTTATCAAGTGGAGTTAGCTTGCAAAAGGGACAAGTGACTGCATGAATGTGGACGCGACTAAGTTTGGTAGGTCGAGGTCGAGGAGGACTTACCATAATGCGTAGTTATAAAAAGGCTTCCACGCTTAACTTGAACTTTTGAACATTTCAATATTTTGAAGGGCGAAAAGGAGAGAACATTGAGTGAGCTATTCCAATGATTTTATATTCTATTTTCTTGACTGAGTGGAAACGAGGACCTATTCTCGATCTCATTGTTGAGGATATTCTTATTCTATCTGAGTGTAAGTGTTTGGAAAAACACCGATAAACGATACGTGAGATTCGTGTTTAGAAAATCCACAAGGAATTTGTGGTCAGAAAAGTAGTAGTATAGGTGATTACATTGTAGGTTTAGAAGAGGGAGTCTTGTTCGTAAATCTTAAGTGTAGTGGGCCAGACACTTATATATATATATATGAAAGAGTTTCGAAGAGATAGCGGGATGCTCTCCTGAAGGTTCATGTTTTGTAGAATCTTGCTTCTGCAATTTAGTGAACGTACTTCAATGTTTACTGATTTATTTTGTTAGCGCTATTCTGTTATATCTCCCCTAAACTTCATTTTTGTGTCACACATGAAATCAAAACCTAGTTTCTACACACCACATTTATCAACTTTCAAATAACACTTAAACAAGTAATATTCACTTTCATCAATTATTTTAACATATTAAATTTTTTTTTGATAAATTTCACATACTCTCGTTGATCTTTCAATGTTCAAACCAACACACAGTTATATAAAAATGAGTGCACCAATATGATCCGATTGCTCATAATCCAATATG